TGTCTATGTATAGGCCAAGGAACCTTCCCTCATTTTTATTGGTAATGTTAGCATTGTCTGAAGTTGAATTTGATTTGATGATTTACTACCAAATAAAATGTAAGTCTTTTCTGTGTTTAGTGTAAGTTTGTTGGTTGACATCTATGAGTGGACTTTTTTAATTCATTATTGACAATATTATTTAGTGTGTGGGGGTTGGGGTCAGAATAAATGAAGGTAGTATCGTCGGCAAATAATATAGGTTTAAGAATGTTAGTAATATTTGGCAAATCATTGATGTATATAAGAAATAGGAGAGGTTCTTAGATGTGGCAATCCTACTGTTAATGGTAGAGTGGGGAGGTTGTTATTGATGGCTAATAAAATAAACTTTGCAAAATTACAAAAATTACACTATAATAAACTAATTTCAGTAGAATAAAACTTAGGAGCAATCACAAAATTCTAGATAAAGTAATTATAGCAAAAAATGCAAATACTGTACACGTATAATACAAACAATTAAAAGTAAAATAAAGATCACTGTAATTAGACAAGAAGGATACAAATGTTGAGTAAAAAATAGATTCAATAAAGATTAACAAGAGTAATATTCTATATTTAGATACAGATATTTCTTTATATAATAACTATATTGCTAGCAGAAAATGCAAATATATTCTGCTATATTACATATAGCAAAAAATGCAAATATAATGGGAACAAGTTAATATAATGAAATAAGAATCAGTGTAATTAGGTAAGTAGGATACAGATGACAAGTAAAATTAAGAATTCAATAAAGATTGACAAGATTAATATTCAATAAAATTATGGAATTAATACAAAAATTGAGTTACAGGTATAAGTAATTAAAAACAAGTTTGAAGTTGGAAAGTGACACATACACTCCTCTTGCAATGTTCTATGTGTGTTCCTCTGGCGACAGCTTACTATCCAAAACCACTCCTAGGTCTAGTTCTTTATTAGAGTTCTGTAATTCCTTTCCACATAATTTGTAAGCTGTGTGTAGTCTATTTTCTCAGATTCCACATTTCATAACATGCATTTATTCACATTGAATTCCATTTGCTACTTGACATTCCAAGCACTGATTTTATCTAGATCAATTTGAAGGGCATTACAATTGTCTGAATCTCCTATCTTCCCCAGTACAGTATCTTAGCATCATCTGCAAACATGTTCATATAATTCTATGCTCCTTCTGTTAGATCGTTCATGTAGACGATGAACATTACTGGTGCAAGAACTGAACCCTGTGGTACTCCGCTAGTAACACTTCTCCAGTCAGATACATTGTCTCTGATTATCACCCTCATCTGTCAGAAAATTATTTCATCCATGTCAGAAGTCTCCCTGTCACCCCTCCAGCATGTTCCAGTTCCAGAAGTCTCTTGTGTGGGACTTAACATAAGCCTTGTTTAGGTCCAGAGAGACAGTCAACCCAATCACCTTTCCTGTAGTATCTCTGTGGCTCTATCATAAAAGCTAAATAGATTTGTTACACAGAATTTTCCTGTTCGAAAACCATACTGTCTGTCCGTCATTATGTCATTATTCTCTAGGTGTTCATCCCATTTGGCTTTTAACTATTTTTTCTAGTGTTTTTGTTACTTGTTAATGATATGGGTCTATAATTTGGAAGTTCCTCTCGACTACCTTTTTTATAAATTGGTACTATGTTTGCTTTTTTCTATGTATCTGCTCAGATTCCTGTGCACAAGGATGTCTGAAATATTAATGGGAGTGAAATGCTCAGCTCAGTTGCACATTCTCGCAGCACCCAAGGTGAAACTCCATCAGATCCAACTGCTTTATTTCTTCCTAGCCCCCATGATTAATTTTTCCACTTTGTCTTGAGATACCTCTATGTATTCTACAGTGTGCTCTGGAATTGGTATTTGGTACGGCTCTCTGAAATCCTCATTTTGTACAAACACACTTTGGAACTGCTCATTTAGCATTTCACACATTTTTTTCTTTCTCGGTAGCCCTGTTCCTCATTCTCTTCTCAATCTCAGGATTTTATCTTTTACATGCAGTTTGCATTTAATGAATTTATAGAAAAAGACTTTTTTTTTTACTTTTTTCCTCTCGGCCAATATCTGTTGAACCAATCCTGTTTTCTGGTCCTGCTTCTGTTTTGGTATGTGTGCCTTCATCATATATTTTGCAAAATTTGGCATGCATCTCATTTACTGCCTTGCAACAAGTCTGTCCAATTAAGCTCATTAAAGAATTGTCTAAATTCCCCATAGTGTCCTCTCTCTTGAAACAGTTTATCAACTGTTTCAATGTCCCCATTCTTTTCTATATTATATCGCAAAGTATATTTAATTTCCAACAGGACATGACCACTTTTTCCCAAGGAAGGAAGGCACTGGATGTCAAATATGTCTTCTTCTTTCCTGGTGAATATTAGATCCATTATTGATAGAAAATACCTTTCCCTCATTCTTGAGGCCTGCTTGACGTGTTGATACATGTCTCCAGAATGAGGTTTACAAATCTGCCTGACCAAATGTCCTCTGTTCTTACTTCGTAGGCCTAACAGTTTATTGCGTCAACATGTGTGTGTGTGTGTGTGTGTGTGTGTGTGTGTGTGTGTGTGTGTGTGTGTGTGTGTGTGTGTGTGTGTGCGTGCGTGCGTGCGTGTGTGTGTGTGTAATTACTCAAGTAGTTACAGGATGATAGCCACGTTCGAAGTGTCCCATCTTCCTTATCACTCGCTCACACTAGGTCGAACTACTGACTCAACCCAGGATGCAACCCCACAACACGTCAAATTCCCCAGTACAGTACTTGTATTTAGTTACTGCTAGGTGAACAGAGGCATTAGGTGAAAGATAATGTGCGCAACTATTTCAATTTCATCTGGGAATCAAACCCAGGATTACCGATTGAGTTGAGAACATTAGAACATAAGAATTAAGGAAACTATCGAAGACTGATTGGCCCATTCAAGGAAATTGCTATTTATATCCACCCAAACTCACTGGTGTGTGTTTGTTTTATAATATACAAGAGTTCTTACATTCTTGTACAGCCACCTTCTGTACACGAGCTTGCACTAGCACGCATAGCATTTCGGGCAAGTCCTTAATCCTATGTTCCCGGAATACGACCCGCCAAATTGTTTAACAATCAGGTACCCATTTTACTGTTGGGTAAACAGAGGCTACAGTTAAGGACTGACGCCCAGTAAATCCTCCCCGGCCAGGATCTGGACCCAGGACAAAGTGCTCGCGAAACGCCAGGCGAGTGTCTTACCACTACACCACGAAGACTGCTGTCTATATATATGTTTAAGCCAAGCGTGAAACATCCAGTGATCCAACGTTTATTGTGTTGCCTGGTAATAAGTTCGCCAGATAAATAAACACTTTTCCGGGGGTTCAGTCCCTGATCCCAGTATGTGCCTCTGTAACCCTTTCCTCCTCCGCCCACAGGACGGGTATGGGGTGCATAATAATTGAACTGAACTAAACTTTCCAAGAAAGCATTTACCCCCAGGTCTCTACTGAATCTAAAGTTTACGTTAGATTAGTGAATATTGTAACATGCTAGTATTGCTATGTGCAGTTGTTAGTGATTATACCTGTCAAGAAAAGTGTTACTAGGGCTCTAGTACAGACAGCTGGGTGTTACTAGGGCTCTAGTACAGACAGCTGGGTGTTACTAGGGCTCTAGTACAGACAGCTGGGTGTTACTAGGGCTCTAGTACAGACAGCTGGGTGTTACTAGGGCTCTAGCACAGACAGCTGGGTGTTACTAGGGCTCTAGCACAGACAGCTGGGTGTTACTAGGGCTCTAGTACAGACAGCTGGGTGTTACTAGGGCTCTAGCACAGACAGCTGGGTGTTACTAGGGCTCTAGCACAGACAGCTGGGTGTTACTAGGGCTCTAGCACAGACAGCTGGGTGTTACTAGAGCTCTAGCACAGACAGCTGGGTGTTACTAGGGCTCTAGCACAGACAGCTGGTGTTACTAGGGCTCTAGCACAGACAGCTGGGTGTTACTAGGGCTCTAGTACAGACAGCTGGGTGTTACTAGGGCTCTAGCACAGACAGCTGGGTGTTACTAGGGCTCTAGTACAGACAGCTGGGTGTTACTAGGGCTCTAACACAGACAGCTGGGTGTTACTAGGGCTCTAACACAGACAGCTGGGTGTTACTAGGGGCTCTAGCAAAGACAGCTGGGTGTTACTAGGGCTCTAGCAAAGACAGCTGGGTGTTACTAGGGCTCTAGTACAGACAGCTGGGTGTTACTAGGGCTCTAGCACAGACAGCTGGGTGTTACTAGGGCTCTAGTACAGACAGCTGGGTGTTACTAGGGCTCTAGCACAGACAGCTGGGTGTTACTAGGGCTCTAGCACAGACAGCTGGGTGTTACTAGGGCTCTAGCACAGACAGCTGGGTGTTACTAGGGCTCTAGCACAGACAGCTGGGTGTTACTAGGGCTCTAGTACAGACAGCTGGGTGTTACTAGGGCTCTAGTACAGACAGCTGGGTGTTACTAGGGCTCTAGTACAGACAGCTGGGTGTTACTAGGACTCTAACACAGACAGCTGGGTGTTACTAGGGCTCTAACACAGACAGCTGGGTGTTACTAGGGCTCTAACACAGACAGCTGGGTGTTACTAGGGGCTCTAGCAAAGACAGCTGGGTGTTACTAGGGCTCTAGCAAAGACAGCTGGGTGTTACTAGGGCTCTAGCACAGATAGCTGGGTGTTACTAGGGCTCTAGTACAGACAGCTGGGTGTTACTAGGACTCTAACACAGACAGCTGGGTGTTACTAGGGGCTCTAACACAGACAGCTGGGTGTCGCTAACCAAGAGAAATCAGGCCGTCCTCTCGAGCGTTCACAACGGCACTATATTGATGTACTAAACTGTCTAACACTAACATACCCGAGGAACCCCCGAACAGAAAACGGGAAATCGCGTCAATTTTGCGAGCCGCTGCGATATTTTAAGTACGTCAATTTTTGGTCGTAGGGGGATTGATGCGTCAATATACGATTTAATACTTGAGAGAAGAAACTGGTCTTGCTTTATATTTAGCTCTTGGAGCTGATTGCCGATGATCCTCGGGGCAGAGAGCCAAGACGTGATGCTCCAGGGGCTGGAGTCTAGGAGTCGGGGTCCATCTTATTATGACACACACCAACTTCGAACTCCTGATCCTTCCCGAGTTCTTCTCTGATCTCTTTAATAGGCTTGAGGAGGAAGATTGGCACGTCATCGTCTCGCCCCTATACAGAGAAAACACGCTGTTAGTCTTCTAAACATCAATCATAAAAATATATACAAAAAACCAAATGGGAATTCGTAAATATTTCCTAAAGTTCATAAGTTTATACCGGTTTGTAGGATGGATAAATTTTATTCTCTTACCTGGAAGAGAATCTCCCCCTCGAAGTCCAAGAGTCCATATTTCCGGGCGCGGAGTAGGATGCCGACCACCTTGTTGGAGATCCGGGTGTAGATCTGCGGGGGAGATAATACCATACTCAGTCCTGTGTACTGCAGGTGTGGGTCTGGGGTGATGCAGCTGTACACCTGCCTGCCTCGACCACCTGCCTGCCTCGACCACCTGCCCGCCTCGACCACCTGCCTGCCTCGACCACCTGCCCGCCTCGACCACCTGCCCGCCTCGACCACCTGCCCGCCTCGACCACCTGCCCGCCTCGACCACCTGCCCGCCTCGACCACCTGCCCGCCTCGACCACCTGCCCGCCTCGACCACCTGCCTGCCTCGACCACCTGGCTGCCTCGACCACCTGCCCGCCTCGACCACCTGCCCGCCTCGACCACCTGCCTGCCTAGACAACCTGCCCGCCTCGACAACCTGCCCGCCTCGACAACCTGCCCGCCTCGACAACCTGCCCGCCTCGACAACCTGCCCGCCTCGACAACCTGCCCGCCTCGACCACCTGCCCGCCTCGACCACCTGCCTGCCTCGACCACCTGCCTGCCTCGACCACCTGCCTGCCTCGACCACCTGCCCGCCTCGACCACCTGCCCGCCTCGACCACCTGCCCGCCTCGACCACCTGGCTGCCTCGACCACCTGCCTGCCTCGACCACCTGCCCGCCTCGACCACCTGCCTGCCTCGACCACCTGCCTACCTCGACCACCTGCCCGCCTCGACCACCTGCCTACCTCGACCACCTGCCCGCCTCGACCACCTGCCTGCCTCGACCACCTGGCTGCCTCGACCACCTGCCCGCCTCGACCACCTGCCCGCCTCGACCACCTGCCCGCCTCGACCACCTACCTACCTCGACCACCTGCCCGCCTCGACCACCTTCCTACCTCGACCACCTGCCCGCCTCGACCACCTGCCTGCCTCGACCACCTGCCTGCCTCGACCATCTGGCTGTCTCGACGACCTGGCTGCCTCGACCACCTGCCTGCCTCGACCACCTACCTACCTCGACCACCTGCCTGCCTCGACCACCTACCTACCTCGACCACCTGCCTGCCTCGACCACCTACCTACCTCGACCACCTGCCCGCCTCGACCACCTGCCCGCCTCGACCACCTACCTACCTCGACCACCTGCCTGCCTCGACCACCTGCCTGCCTCGACCATCTGCCTGCTTCAACCACCTGCCCGCCTCGACCACTTACCTACCTCGACCACCTGCCCGCCTCGACCACCTACCTACCTCGACCACCTGCCCGCCTCGACCACCTGCCTGCCTCGACCACCTCCCTGCCTCGACCACCTGCCTGCCTCGACCACCTGCCCGCCTCGACCACCTGCCCGCCTCGACCACCTGCCTGCCTCGACCACCTACCTGCCTCGACCACCTGCCCGCCTCGACCACCTGCCTGCCTCGACCACCTGCCTGCCTCGACCACCTGCCTGCTTCGACCACCTGCCTGCCTCGACCACCTACCTACCTCGACCACCTGCCCGCCTCGACCACCTGCCCGCCTCGACCACCTCCCTACCTCGACCACCTGCCTGCCTCGACCACCTGCCTGCCTCGACCACCTGGCTGCCTCGACCACCTGGCTGCCTCGACCACCTGCCTACCTCGACCATCTGGCTGCCTCGACCACCTGCCTACCTCGACCACCTGCCTACCTCGACCATCTGGCTGCCTCGACCACCTGCCTGCCTCGACCACCTGCCTGCCTCGACCACCTGCCTGCCTCGACCACCTGCCCGCCTCGACCACCTGCCCGCCTCGACCACCTGCCCGCCTCGACCACCTGCCCGCCTCGACCACCTGCTCGCCTCGACCACCTGCCTGCCTCGACCACCTGCCTGCCTCGACCACCTGCCTGCCTCGACCACCTGCCTGCCTCGACCACCTGCCCGCTTCGACCACCTGCCTGCCTCGACCACCTGCCCGCCTCGACCACCTGCTCGCCTCGACCACCTGCCTGCCTCGACCACCTGCCCGCCTCGACCACCTGCTCGCCTCGGCCACCTGCCTGCCTCGACCACCTGCCTGCCTCGACCACCTGCCTGCCTCGACCACCTGCCCGCCTCGACCACCTGCCCGCCTCGACCACCTACCTACCTCGACCACCTGCCTGCCTCGACCACCTGGCTGCCTCGACCACCTGCCTGCCACGACCACCTGCCCGCCTCGACCACCTGCCTGCCTCGACCACCTGCCTGGCTCGACCACCTGCCCGCCTCGACCACCTGCCTGCCTCGACCACCTGGCTACCTCGACCACCTGGCTACCTCGACCACCTGGCTACCTCGACCACCTGCCTGCCTCGACCACCTGGCTACCTCGACCACCTGCCTGCCTCGACCACCTGGCTGCCTCGACCACCTGTCTGCCTCGACCACCTGTCTGCCTCGACCACCTGCCTGCCTCGACCACCTGGCTGCCTCGACCACCTACGTAACTCGACCACCTGGCTACCTCGACCACCTGGCTACCTCGACCACCTGGCTACCTCGACCACCTGGCTACCTCGACCACCTGCCTGCCTCGACCACCTGGCTACCTCGACCACCTGGCTACCTCGACCACCTGGCTACCTCGACCACCTGCCTGCCTCGACCACCTGGCTACCTCGACCACCTGCCTGCCTCGACCACCTGGCTGCCTCGACCACCTGTCTGCCTCGACCACCTGCCTGCCTCGACCACCTGTCTGCCTCGACCACCTGCCTTGTGGGAACCGACCTGTGAGATTTATATTTAATTTATATGAATTTATATTTACGTTAATTTATATACTTCGATAGCAATTTGTATAATGATAAGTGGACTGTATTTCTGCAATAATCTCTTAATCTCACAAATCGATCCTCTACACATTAGGGGGGGGTTTATATTAATTAATTTATATATATGCAGCCAATCTAACTACAGTATTAACTACATACATTGAAAAGGTTCCTTATCTTATTTGTACAGCAAGCTTTAGTCCACCAGGTATAACTAGGTTGTAGACACCACATTTTTCCTCTTTGAGGTAGCTTCCATCACCCTGGTAACTGATGTACAAAGCTTTGCTTCCTCGTCTTGACCTGTCAAAAGGGCGCTAGCTGTAAAGCCAGAATCCTATATATGACAGGTATATCAGAGAAACACTATACATGGAACAATGAAGACCTGGCTTAATTACCTTTAGTTTGAGGCTACCACGTGCTCTAACCGGGTCACCCTATATAATGACATTAATGGCCATAAATGAAAATAAACGGGTTTCGGAAAGAACACTTAACTAGATTTGTTGACAGCGTGTTGATAATGGTACACCTTTGGTTTCCATAACACTACGTCCAAGTAAAATTAACAGGAGCCGAATTTGCTCCCGTGCCTCTGGTCTCCGTATAAACAATGGCTGCCCTCCCTCACCCTGACGCCTAGCTTACATTGTCCAGATGTCAATAAGTGATAGAAGGGTCACATTTACTCTACTTTAATATTGATAATTAAGTTAATTTATATGAGATGTTTTTATGATGGTAAAGTCCAAAGACTAATGTATTTAAGAATAATTCCCAGCAGAATAGCTGGTGAATTATAATAGTATGTGGTAATGATATCCCGTTTTCTATAGACGGTAATTCCACTACAAGTTACGTTTTCTATGGGTTAACTTGTTTATACAATACAGCTATTATCTGTATGATTATTAAATGGTGTCGGATTTTCCGACATAATTCCCCAGGGGCTGCTCACGGGTCGAAGTCCTATTTAGAACAGACGAACACCGATACTCCTCCTTCGAATTATTAGATTAATTTGATGTTAGTAGTTAGTAATCACACATTTGTGTGTCTGTTCGTACAGGACGGATGTCCCGTACTAGAGTTGCAGGGGTTAGAAGTCTAATGCGATTTCATTTCCCTGTTAACTCTTGAAAGGCTAATATTCAAGCCTTATTACATATTATTTAACCCAGAAGACTGAATGTGATCAAGTACTACAGTCAAGTATGATTCAGGGACTGCAGTGAGATCAGTGACATTAGATATAACTTGAAGTTTGTTCAGGTAACTAGTCACTGATATATAAACACTGAGGCCCATGGAATACATCTTGATTAAATAATAAATGTATCAAATCAGTCATCAGATTTATTGAGGTTTAATTTAGTTAATTGATTCAGAAGATTGAATAGCTCATCATTAAAGTAAAGTATGGTTCTGAGACTGCAGTGGGTTCAGTGACATTGGTCGCAGTGACTTGTAGCTGTTTAAGCTACTGTTCACTGATTTGCCACTGAGGCCTCATGAACTCATCTTCAGCTTTAAATGATGATACTAACATCAACCTCTGTTGGTATAGTCAGCTGTAATCTCCTTAGTATAATGCTACTGGAGAAATATAATCAGCTGACAAATTTAGATTTCTATTGGTATTGTTTATCTGCAGGCATAGGTCTCCTCAGGCTTGATACTGGGCCTGAGAGTAATTTACCTCCTGCAGAGTTTAACATGGTTATGCCCTGATATTTAGTAGGGCTACCAATGAATCGATGACAATAGTCTGTCTCTACAAGGAGACCGAAGTCAGTGAGGTGATCAGACTTAATATTATCTGCCAATTTTATTCCTCTATTTCTCAGGAATTTGGCTGTTGCTCTCAGACCTTGAACTTGTAGGTCTACTGGTATTTTGTCCACCACAATGGCTTGTACTCGACAGATGTACCTGCCTAAACGTACTGATGGTTGTACCACCTGGTAGACTTGAGGTCCTGCATCTGTTACAAACCCTGAGATGTTGAATGACATCTGGGCTACAGGCCTTAATTGTAGTTCATCTGCCAGCTTTTTAGTGACATATGTTCTTTGGGATCCTTGGTCAAACAACCCACGGGTATGGACCTTGGCCCTCTTATTCAGGATGGTAATTTGGGCAGTAGGCAAAGTCGTATTACCTTTAGACTTTGCCGATTGGACACTCTTTGTTTGTTGCACCTTGCAGTACTGTACTGTGGTGGGAATGCTATCTTCCACCTTGGGGTTTGGAGACGTTGTTTTGGTGTCTCTGCACA